AAGTCCAAGCATTTACTTTCTTTTTTTTAACCATATCTCAAGTCCTCTGTCAGATTTAATATGAATTTTCGACTTTTTCCCAAATGAAATAACTCTTTAAAAGGCTTATATTAGCAGCTTTTAGCCACCCATGTGTCCCCCAACAGTGCTCCATTAGGTTGGGTGTAGAAACTGTAAAATTTGTTCAACAAATATAAATAAATTCAAACTGATTTGTTGCCGACTTTTAATGCTTTTAAATCTTAATCCAGCTATAGATATCGGCAGCACATGTGACAGTAAATATTTCCATACAATCTATCCACAAATTAATTTTTAAAAGGAGGGAAAAAAATATGCATGGATAATTTCCTCCTAATTAGTCCCAGAGGGTAATATATATGTTAATGGAAAATGTTGAATAAATTGGTAAAACAGACTGAGTGCTCCTTTCAGGCGACACCTTTCAGTTTGTATCTCTGGATTATCTCTCTGTCGCCTGGATGGTTCAGAAGATATTTCTTGGCTCTGCAGGATTATGTATCTGTCTATATGTATTTTTGGACCAGAATGAAAAGGAGGCTTAATTATTTTTTTTTTATTCCTCCTCTCTGACTGTGGCAGTAATATAGCAAACATAGAGCACCGTTGTGTTTTTGATCCAAGGTGAAAGGAAGCCGTTACCCACTCCGTTACTAGTGTGGAAGGATCTCAGGGGAAATCCCTAAAGCCTCTTGCTCATTCTTTTAATCTGCTCATTTTTATTCTATACCTGATTTTAATTAAGAACAGTGGGAGCCCAACTGTGTGCTTCTGTCTGTGTGTGTTAGTGTATCCCTGCTTGCGCTGAGGCACGGTTTAAAGGAGTTACGCTGGTTGGTTGGTTGCTCTTTGTAGCGTAGTTCCTTTCTGTAAATCTCCCATTGATGGATGCACAGGTTCATTAGCATATGATTATGATTATCAGCTTTACACACAAAGCTAAGCGGAAGATGTCAAACTAACAACTGATTTCAAATACTCTGTTTCCATCCTCACTGGACTAATCGCCTTCTATCCTATAGAAATGACCGTCCTCAGCCACATGGACATCAGTGGCGTCTAATGATGCTTTTATCACATCGCTTTTAGATTAACAAAGGACCCAGCTGTCTATGCGGATAAACCTTCTTCTCCTTCCCTTCCTGACCACAGAGACATCCCTGCTCTCCTAGAGTTGCCTGCCTTCTTCACACTCTGGTATTAGGAGTTGAGATTAGCAGCACAGCACTTTTTCTCAATAGATGTGCTGAGCAAGGACGTGGAAAATGAAGCTCCCATCCAGTCGATTCAAATGGAGAATTGTGATTAATTGGAATCGATGGCTTTGGCTTCGAACGCTCTCCACTACCTCTCTTCTTCTTCTCTGTCTTGACCTCAGCTCAAAGTGCTAATGTACAGTTTAGCACAGAGGCATACTGATACACGCTCATTTATAACTTGGTAACCATCCGTTTTAGCAAACCCCGGTTGTTGCTGAATGGTAAAAGCCAAGTTTGGCACACATCCACACACCAACAGTCCCATTCTGCTGAGGCACACTGATGAGCTCCGTCCAGAGAGATGAGACCAGCCTGGAGGAACAAAGGGTTAGTCGATTTGGAAACCCAGCGGAGAGACTGCCAGCCGGGTCAGAGAGTCTGAACCGATGGTGTGAGGGACCGGTGTTTGCTGCTCCCTGCAAAGGTTCGATCTCTGAGGAGGCATCAATCTGTGCCGGCGGAATCGAAAACCCCCACCCGCTTACTGTTTAGGTCAAAGTGCAGCATCCTGAGAGATAACCCAACATTTATACCGAGCTTAACTTGTAAATGGAAGAAACCTCCATTCATACAAAAATCGAACCACTAAAGTCGGCAGGAGCTGTTATTTGCTGTTACTGTTCTGAAGTAACAATGCTAATAAGGCTAAAAAGAGCTTTATCTGTATATCCAGTAATAAGAGCTAAAAACATTTTGCATGGGTGCCAAAGTATGAATAAGTGACTGAATAATTCAAATAATAATTTGAAACGTCCTATTTGTTATACTAGTATCTGAACATGTCTAAATGACTTAAATTTAATACCATTAATACTTTGTACTACCATATTTTTTCATTAAGACCACAGGTTGATTTTTTTATTTTTATTTTTGTCAGACCAACATAGTGGCTCATAACCATGAAGAAGTAGGAGAAAGGTTCATGGAAACCTGAAAGGCGTTGGATTCATAGTATAATCTTAAACCTTTTTAAGCTGACCTTAAGAGTAGAATCCAGTTCCAGCTGTTGCCTTCAAGACAAACCAAATAGATAAATAAAGTTATCAGCAGATATTCTTTGAAGGCCTCTGAGGAAGAATGAGTTAGTCTGCTTCACTGTAGGGAATAAAAATTTTTCATTTACTGTCTGAAAAGCTTTACTAAACGAAACTTTGTTTTGTATACAACAAAAGTTTAGAGTCTAGAGAAAAAATATAAAAATTGAGACCAAGGTACAAACAGGTCAGGGAGAATGATATGAGGACATCAAAGTAGGGTTAGTTTATGAATAGATTTCCCAACTTACATGCAACTGGAAGTAGTTCAATTAAACCTGGAAAAAATATAGAAAGTTTAAAGTGCAAATGGAAAGATGCTTAGACATGCTGATGCCCCCGCAAGAGGATATTACTGTGGTAACCATGAGGTCTGCATTAACTCTGGAGGAGCTGCGAGATCCTCGGCTCAGGTGGAAGAACTATTGACAGGATAACTATTAGCTGAGCACTTTTAAAAACAAGTCTCTCTTCTACTAAAGAGCTGCAAAAAGAAATCCGTGATTGAAAGAGAGGATTATGAAATCTTCTCGGTTTACAACCAAAGCATTATACGTGGCAGTAAACTTACAATCTACCTTAGTACTTACTTTGACTATTTTCACAAGTATATTAATAATCTAACAGGATTAGCTCTTGCTTAGAATATTAACATCAAAACAAGATCAAAAAGACTTTTAAGCTGGATCTAAAATTGTGAGTTTTTACTTGAACCATTAAAATGGTCTAGTCAAAGTCCAGACTTGAATCCAATCGAGAGTTTGTTGCTAGACTTGAGAAGTGTTAGAAACTGAGTTCAGATTTAAACATTTCTATTTTGGCTTGCACGCCACACTTTTCAGATTCTAGAAAACCTTTTGGTTTTCCTTTGTCTTCACTGTGTTTTACAATACTACCCGTCTAATAAACCTGTTGGTCTATCCCATAATAGCTTCAAATAAAAAAACACAGGGTATGATAAATAAATAAAAAAACTTTTGCCTGGCACTCTGTCAGTTTGTTTATTTAATCAGATACAGACCTACCAGATAAGATTATCATTTCAGGGTTAATCTCTTTGCTAATAAATCCTTGTATAAACAGATCTCACAGCACCCATTTATTAAAAACAATTACTTGATCCAGTGAAGAACGTGAATGTCTCCAATCTAAATAATTCAGATCATCCTCCGCTGGCTTGATTATGGAGCAGGTGATTGGCAGCTCTGACACCAAATAATCGGCCCTAGCATCAGCAAAGCCCATATTAGCTGAGCTGCTGTGCTGAGATATACCCAGAGAAGCTGTGCACTTCCTGCAGAGCCAGAGGAGATGACGAGCTGTTGGGGCGTTATCTGAAAGTATAATTTACCCTGGAGCCACACTTGGCAGGGATTTAGGGTGATGTCTGTTCCAGAGGGGTGCAGACACCGAATCATCACTCAGCACGTGCTCCGCATCACTTCCTGCAGAAAAAACAATGTTTCAGGAGACAAAGTTGCATTTGCAAACAGATGAGCATTCTCCGAAAGCAGCGTGCTTCTTTCATCTGCACACACACGGCTCAGTCCCGCCATTTCTCACACGCACGTTACCAAGGAGACGAGCACAGTTGGCTGAAATGCTGGAGAGCCTCTCCTTCGTAATAAAGCAGCATGATTTTCTTTTCATGCTTGATTGAGAGGCCTGCTTACTTTTTGAAACAACTCTTTTTCTTTGTTTTCCTGCTTCACTAATAAAGCGAAGACGGCAGTTTTCGGTCTTAGAAAACCGGTCTCTTCGATATAAGACGCTGTTAGAGAGATTGTTTGAGAGGTGGCCCCTTAAGTGTTGGTTATAGGCTGCTGCCCTCACTAAGTAATGATGTTGTGTTGCAATAAAAGTTGGCATAAGGCACCATTTAAAGCCTTTCAATGCAGCTTTTTTAATTACAGCTGTATATCTATCTCTCTGCACTGCTAATTAACATCCAGCATGGCTGCTGGTGTTTATTGAGGGTCTGTGTGTTTAAACGAGGCTGCTGTGGGTCAGCATGGACTTCTCGACCTTTGGATTTTGGGGAAGGAGTCCGGAATATTAATTGGAGGATTTAGTTTTAGGTTTGAGCATTTTATGTTTTTAATTAAAAGTAATTTCCACCCGAGTGGAAAGCTGTTGGGTTCAAGGATCCATCTGTTTACTCAACTGCAATTTAAAAAAAGTTTATAAAAAATAAATACATGATTACATCTTTAACAAAGTTATCTCTTTATCCATCCTTCAATCTGGCCGTCTGCCGAACCATCAGTTTCTTGATGTCCGTCCGACCAGCAGACCCAGTAGTGCTGGAGCAAACTGCAAAAAATTTAAATCAAGTCATTTTTTTCTTTAAATAAGTGTATTTTTTCTTGAATTGAGGAGGAAAGTCAGACATTTTGCCAATGGAACATGACAATTTAGATTTGAAATAAGAAAAAAATATTGAAATGTCTTATTTCAAGTGCATATTATCTAATTATATAGACTGAAAATACTCATCCCATTGGCAAACTATCATTTGCCTACTCAAATTGAGAGTAATTAGATTTAATTTAAGAAAATTTTACTTATTTCTAGATAATTTTTGCAGTATAACGTTGGGATCTATTGGGATCTCCTTGATGCACAGTAACTGTCATTCACTAATTTATTTCCCCTCTGTTTGTCTTTTTTTCCCCTTGCCTTTCAGGGATTCCAAGGTTCGCCAGTCAGCCGTCTCCAGCCTCCGTGCATATCGGGGACAGCCAAGTGGTGGCGTGTGAGGTAAACTCAGACCTGGTGCCTTTCACCCGCTGGGAGAAGGACAAGGAAGCGTTGGAAATGAGCGACAGATTGATCCAGCTGCCCAGCGGGGCTCTCGTTATCAGCAACGCCTCGGAGGCTGATGCCGGCCTGTATCGCTGTGTTGTGGAAAACGTGGGTTCCTCCAAGTCCAGTGAGGAGGCCTTGCTGCAGACGATACCAGGTAATGCAGGCTGATGGATCTAGGTTGCTATCCAAGTTAGGGTGATGCTGATATTCTTCCCTGTCCTTTATCTAATTACATTGTCTAGGATGTTGTTCCGTTATTTATTTAGTTATTTAAGTAGCCAAGGGAATTGACTTCACTTTCTATTGCATTTAATGACATTAATTTGTTGTTTTCTCTTTGGGTTTGCTCATTAAGTGATTTTATAGTAACTCACCTATAGCAGAAAGCGGGGTGGAAGTCCAGCCTAGAAGGGTCTCACTCTGCCCATATGGACATTTGATATACTGATTGTTAAATACCAAACTTCTGCTGGCTCACAGACGATATTGGAGACAGTAATTCAGACTTCAATAAGACCTCTATGGGCTTCTTTGTCCTCAGTTTACCTGCTCTGAGGATGCTTGCTGACTTGGCAGATATTTTAGAGCCTGGAAGATGAACTCTCGTTACATTGTCTCAATAGTTCGTTTATCAGAGCGGCTAAAGATGCAGACAATGCAGCCTCCCATTGGGGCAGCTGAGAGGCTTCCGATGAGAGGCGATAAATGAGATTTTAATGCATTAAAAGGTGTGGGGCTACAAAAATAGATTTTGGAATAAAATTCATATTGAAGGAAGCCACATTTCCTGTTTAGGATTGATGAGTCTGTATTGTGAATGTTTATATTGCCTAGATTTTAGCTGATGCTTTTGGTTTTGCTTTCCCTACTTTTATCAAATGTTACACTCATAATAGTCACTTGATCTTTAGTTTTGGTTTCCTGTTAACCCTGACTCTTTTTAATTGTTTTTCAAGAAACCGGAGGAGAGAGGAAGCTGGAGTTTCTGGTGCAGCCTGCCTCTGTGACCAAGCTGCTGGGTGCCAGTGTGCTGCTGCCATGTGTGGCCTCAGGTTATCCTGCACCTCACATCCGCTGGATGCTCGGAGACAAAGTGCTGGAGGAAAGGTATGAGCCTGCATTAATAACAGCATTTTATTATCAAAACGGTTTTAAATAACTTTTTTATTTACATGTTATTATTAAGAGCTCAGATTTCTTCAGTGGGTTTAATTAGAAGTTCCTCCTCTGGACTTTGTCTGTTTTTGCTACTTTTCCCCCATAGGAATCGTCCATAGACTAGAATATTAATATTACTGATTTATCGTCAAATATTAATGTAAGCACAACACAATTACTAAGCACTACCTCAGCAGACACGAAGTAATATTTCAAGTATCACAAATAGCGGTAATGTCTCTGGTTTTTTTAGTCTTACACTGCCCTAAAGTAAACATTTAAAATTAGATATATTTATTAACTGAGCTCCTAAAGTTCAAGGAGAGTGATGTTTATTTAAAGACTGGACTTTTCAATCCACAGTAATAAAAAAATGTCTCTTAAACGGACAAATCTCAGATGAAACTAAACTTTAACTTGTTTTATTCTAAGCCAAGTAGAATAAGGGTTACAGAAACCAGCGCTGAGTTTTGCTGTAGCTTCTAATCCAGCCTGGTTAAGCTATTTTGTTTGGTTTATCTAATAATTTATCTAAGCTACTTGGTATGTCCTTGGATAGTCCCCTACAATTCCTTTTTAAACATAAATTTTTGTACTAAAATGTTCTTTCTGTCATGATTTGTGGACATTAAGATCTAAAGAGAAGCCTCATCTCCGGGTCAGACCCTGGAATTCAGTGAAAGGTTGGAGTCGGAGTAAAAAATACGCAAAAGGGGGGTGACTCCAATGGCTAGAAGTTGGAAGGGATTTCGCTGGGAGTTGCAGGGAAGTGGGCTGCCATTCGACTGACGTTTGACTTGAAAGGGCCATTTTGAATGGCTGCTACTGTATATCTGCAGTAGTATAGCCACATTTATACTACCCTTTTAAAACCGTGCCGAGATCGTTCCGAGTACGGTAACCGAGATAACTGTTGAGTGTAAATGGTGTGCAGAACTGAACCAGATTGTGCCAGACACAATGGAACCGCGCTAACATGGTACTAGTTCATCAGGAGGGCTTGGCGCCGTTCAGTTCTGGCTCTGTTCTAAGATAACAAAGAGCGCACAATGGAACCGCGCTAACATGGTACTAGTTCATCAGGAAGGCTTGGCGCCGTTCAGTTCTGGCTCTGTTCTAGGATAACAAAGAGCGCATGAGCAGACCGTGTCATCTCCTTACAGTCAGCTACCGTAATCATGAAGTTTGCAACATGATTTCCAGTGATGATTCCGATTAACAGTGTGATGAATCTCAACTCCTGTCTTTGTTTACTGCATCTCTAAGCCCTGATTAGACTAGCATTTGTCATACCCACTCCCCAAAAGCAGACTCTGTCAAGTAAATTCACCATAGGCTGCCGTCTTCGCCTGATTCTCTGCAAACTTCTGAATGTTACGGATGCTGCCATGTTGGTTTGCTTATTTACCTCTAGAAAGCAGTAGTACCGTAGATCATCACTAGTGTGGTGTGTCTTGATTCGGTTAACTGACCGAAGCTCGGCACGGATCTGTTCTCAGAAGGTAGTGTAAATAGGATTACTGTGTATCGTCCCCAATACAAGGACTAGCCGATATTTAGTCCTAAACCCGAATCTGTCATTTCCCCTTCTTTTATTCAATCTACTTTTTGAGAAGCATCTACAGCTGTAACAAATTGCTCCCATTGCTTCTGGCCTCCAAAAAGCTAAACTGTTTATCCTGCCGCCTGCATCTGAGGTGTTAATGCTTTTCTGCCACTGCTGCCCCAAGAGCTTCATGGGGGAGAGTCAGATTTGTAAACAGAGCCACTTCATCTGGGAGAAGAGGGCTGCCGGGGTCGCCTGCAGAGGGGAAGTTTCAGAGCGCCTGTGCTCTCACTCCTTTGGCTCTCATTAGCTCAGGCATTGTGACTCAACATCTGCGGAGAGAACAGGACCGAACGTGGGAAATTTGATTCTCACCAATTAAAAAAAGGCACTCTGTTTACCTAACCCCCCATTGTGCCAGTTCTGCTGCATAATAACTCTGCAACTCGGCGGGATCAATAAAATACATAAAAGAAAGTGTTGAAATGAGGCCCATTTATCTAAATCCAGCTCTGGATGGGATTTCCACCATAAGTGAAATTAAATGTAAGGTTGCCATGTTGTTAACCATGACGCTCCTGTGTGTTGTGAGGGAGAATGTCATTAGCCCGACGAGCTGATGGTTCAAAGCACAGCGCCTCGTAAGTTAAACGTCTTTAATGACTCTGATTGTCTGCAAGTGTTCTGACCTCCAAAGGGAGCTGGCTAAAATGGCCCTTATTAATCTATCTTGTATTAATTAGAAAATAACATCCGGTGTGAATACATCTCCACTCTTGGGTGTCTGTAGAAGTAATTAGCAAGCATGCTGAACTCTCTGGGAAGCCTTGGTGATATTGAAGGGGACAAAAAGCCTCCTGCTTTCAAAGAGATAGTGGAGGGGGGAATAGATATCCAAGAGTTTTCTTTGTTTTTTTAATGCAGTAATGACTATTAAGAAGAATATCACAGGATTTACTTTTTGTTCTCTTTGCATTTCCCTTTTCTTCTGAGGGAGAAGATGCAATCACTTGAAACATTGCTGGGTTGTAGAGGGAACTGGAGGCACAGGAGGGGGGGGCTTCTGTGGATTTATTGGTATTTGCTGCACCAACCTTGAAGTGGTTGAGATGTAGCCATGTGATAAACGGAGATAAAAGAAAAATAGGTTTAACTGACTAATAGAGGAACCTAAGGCAGCCACAAAGTTGAGAGCTCTTGAACAGGGGCGGAGCTAGATGGGGGTGGTGACAAAGTGGTTCAGTTTGTGTTCACCATCTATTCTTTTTTCTGATTCGTAATGCTTAAATTTAAACATTAGTTTGCAGCTTTGCTTCACCTGCTATCCTGGATTTGTTTGTGTTAGCATTATGTTGCAGTTTCCATCTATTTATATGTTTAGGTTAAAGCTATTACTTCTGGATTATTGGTTGAAATTGCGTTTTTTGTTTTCAAAGCATATCCATGGTATTTGTTTTTTCTATTTACTCACCATTGTTTGTCCCAGTATTTCCTGCAAAATTGGCTAGATGATGTCATTGATTACCTTGCTGGGTTATACCATTTAGAGGGTTTCCTTTGGAGTAATGTTTTGTCTGTTTTTCTTTTAAGGGGGACATAGAATTCAAAACCAAGTTCACATTGTCATGGATAAATAACGATAGTTCAGTGGGTGAAATGGACGTACAGAGAAGTTCAAACCCCATCGACACCTTCTTTTTATGCAAATCTCACAATTCTAAGCTTCCACCATAAAATGGGCGAATCCAAACAAAGCCCCGAGTTGACGTAAACTCGGGGATGTTGCCTTATTTGGTTCTGGCCTGTACTTTTGTCACGCCCTGAAATTGACATACAGACCAACCCACTGGTTCACAGCCCAAGAAAATAAATGGAGGTAGATTTAAGACACCTGTTTAGCTGTTTAGCCTACAGTTGGGTTTATGTCTACAAGCATTACAAATAAGGCATTTTCTCTATTGAAAATAAGCCTTTTATGAACTAACAATAAGGAAACTTACATATTACTGCATTGTTTAGCTAATACTCTCTGAGAAACAAACGTTTTAGTTGAGCTTTAACATGTCACGGTAAGATTTGCTTTATTTCACCTTCTAATGAGTCTTTGGTGGCACCCTCTACTTTTCAAACAATGAATGTTAAAGTTTTAAGTGAATGTAAATATATGACCAAACAACCAAAACGATCTGTCTTATAAGTAGAGAGAAATAATAAAAGATTTTATTTTAATAACTCCCTCAGTTCACAGCAACAAGTGGAGGAGAGGCATTGTCCATTTAGTTGGAAAGCACAAGAGAGATACTATTTGTAATGCTGTTAAGTACTTAAACCTTCAAGTAAAGTTAAACTCAAACCTAACTAAACTTCACCTAAATTTAAAGTCTTATGGTTGGGAAACCAGTGTGGTTTGACACCCTGGCATGTGTTGGTTCTACTAACCGACCCGTTTCCTATAAAGGGACAGTTCATCTAACATAATGCAATACAATTAAAAAATGCTTTATTAATTCCAAAGGGAAATTAAATGTTGCAGTACCTTGTTGGCATTATTTTCAACCAGTTGTTGTAGGTGTTGATAGCTGTATGCAGGAAGGCTCTTCTGTAGTGATCTGTCTTGCACTGGATCTTTAGAAGCCTCTCATTGAAGACATTATTGTTGTTTAAAAATCTTCTGGAGGATGCTCACTGTTGTCCATAAAGTTCTTCACTTTATGAAGAATTATTCTTAGTTTATGAAGAATTAAAGTTAAAGTCAGTCAATCAATCATCTAGAGCAGGCATCCCCTAAGTCGGTCCTCATGGGCTCTTGTTTCTTCTGAAATCTACAATCGTCTCCCCTGCTTTGTTAACATTCACAATTAAATGAGTTCATCACCATTTTAACAAAGTGGTTAACCAGCTCCCTGTACTCTGCTTCTTGTCCTTTTTCCATGCACCAAATTATTGCAGAGTCATCTGAGTATTTCTGCAGATGACAGGACTCTGTCTGGGACTGGAAGTCAGAGGTGTACAGAGTACAAAAGAATGGAGAGAGTACCGTCCCCTGTGATTCTCCTGCGCTGCTGACTACAGTACTTCATTAGACAGCTGACCCTTCAGTCTAATAAACTGTTATCTGTTTGTCAGTTAGTCTTTGATCTAGGCCGGAGGTCTTCAACAGGGGGTCCACGGGGGTGCTGCATGGGGGTCACAAAGGTTTTGGTTGATTAGACTTTTTTTATATTCCCCCCTGCAATATTTTTCCACTAATTGAAATGTCTTTAAATCCACGTTAACATGAATTCAACACACTGTAGAAAACAGATAAATGGAGGCAGAAGATGTCTTTCATCAATGCACACATTCAGCAACACACAGGAGCTCTTTCAAGCTGGGCATTGTTTTATTCACAACACCTGTCCCA